GAATATCTTTAACATCAATAATGCTTTATTGTCATTTGTTTGCTGAGGTATTACATGCGATCATGGATATAATGTAAAAACATGTAATCGCAATATATAACAGCAATCGCAGTCTATCACAGCTAATATCTTAGCTGTGATAGAAATGCACAATAGTTTAATAAAAGAAAATGTTTTTTAATATTTTTTACAAGTACTTTTTATTATTATTTATAATATTTCCAGAATTGTTTAATTCAACCAACATTCTTTTTATATCATGATATATTAATTTTCGTACTCTGACAGATGATAAGGATATAAATTTATCTTTACATGCTGCAAGCAATAATTTAAATAGTACAGAAAAATCTAACGTCAATAATGCTTCTCCTGTGCCCAATACATGCAATAATATTATGATGCAAGGTACATTTTATGTTTATTAAATGAATCTATTACAATTATCTTCAATAATTTCAAATAGCACTCATATAGACACAATAGTATTTATGAATAGTATTCTTTCTTTTTATATTTACTCTTTAGTACATCTTATATGTGGTACTTTTGTATTATAGATAATATGAACTTAGAATCTTTGAGTACAAGACGCAATGAGAAGTATAATGTAGATGCAAATATATGCAATGTTGCCTCGGCTGTGTTAGAGACAAGTAACAATTTAATAGTTTACCCATTTCTTAAAATTTCTTAAAAATACTTTTCATTATTATATACTATATTTTTAGGATCTATTATCAATAGAAATCATTATTTTTCCATCATTATTGATATATGACATTTTATATTTCGACAGATGATAGAGATATCAAATCATACTTAAATGTTGCAAGCAATAGCTTAAATAATGGGGGAAAACGTAAGACTTTCTAGCCACACATAATGATAATGATAATGTTATTGATGCTTCTTCTATGATCAATGAGTGTAATAACATTATGATACCAGGTACGTTCTGTGTTAAATAAACCTGTTAGAGTCATTTTAAATAAACAATTCTTTTATATATGTTATATTAAATATGTTATATTTATGTTACATTTCTCTTATATTTTGACAAACAATATTCCTTTCCTTTATGCTTTGATATTATTGTATAAATGTATTGTGATTTTGTATTGCAGAAGATATTACTTTAGAATCTTTGTTACATACAACGAGCAATATGGACTGTTATGTAGATGCAGCTGCGATGGAGACAGGTAATGATTTAATAAATAATGGTTTTCCATTTCTCTAAAATATTTATTCTTATTACTTTCAATTCATTTTTAGCATTTTTTATTCCATTGTCCATATAAATCATTATTTTTATATAATTGATATATTAATTTCTATATTTTGATAGATGATAGAGATATGAATTCTTGCGCAGAAGCAGCAAGCGACAATTTGGCTGACTTCGGAATAAATAATTTCAAGGGTACTTCAGCTGTGCCAAATATACGTGATAATATAATTTCAGATATACTATATTTGTTAATTAAAAGTCACTATTTAGAGAACATTACATCATGAAAATTACATTATAAAAATGTCGAGATATTTATAATTTATGAAATATAAACAGTCGAAAAAATAAAATTTCGCGAATTATACTTCAATGGACAACCAAATAGAAGAAATATATCTTGTTCGATTAATTTTAAGTGGATTTTAGTTAAATAGAATTTTAATTTAGAGTTTACATATCTTATAAAGATATGTGTTCCGTACGGCACTCGGAGCTAGCGGGGCTGGCGATAGCACGGCGGGCGGTCAGGCGCAGGTGCTCTCGCATCCAGCTGCCGCTGGCGTCATTCCCGCCAGCGCCCCATCAAAAGCTTTGCTCAAGATATTTCCAAGTCCGACTCGAGATTTAAGCGAATTGCTCGCCTTTCTCCTTGCCTCGCGCGACAGAGTCAAAGACCGGTATCCATAGTCCGATCTTATATTTAAGATCATCTTAAGTACTGTCTTAAGATGTCATGAACCAATCATAGAGCCATATTCGCATCTTAAGACATTATTTAAGACGGTCTTGAAATAAGATTCGACTATGAATACCGGCCTAAGTGTTACTTGGCACTTAATCGTGGTATCGCTCTGCGGAGCATGCACTTATATCTTGAGCTCTGCTCGAAAATTCAAGTTTTCTTATACTGTACAGAGTGTCTGACGCAAAATCAACGTATATATACAAGTATATCAATTTGAGCAAAAAGATCCCTATTGTGTTTTAAACTACCATGTAAAATTTTGAGATATTAATAAAAGAAGATTAGCGATTCAATGCGACGCTGTAGGACAAGCTCGCTAGACGTGAGCTCTTCAAAACTGGTTGCATCGAAATTTTACGTGGTTGTTTAAAAAATAAAGGTCTTGGCTCAGATTAATGTGCTTCCCTTATAGAAATATCATACTAAGAATCATTGATAATTACTTATTTTCAGTATTAAAAATACTGGATAATAAGTAATTATCAATGATTCTTAGTATGATATTTCTATAAGGGTTGTATCTGCACACATGCATTAGCGTATCTTGGGTAAAATACCTAGATACGTATACATTACATTTCGACATACATATTTCTGTCTTCCATATTGTTTCTGCTTATGTGCTAATGTATAACATCTGCATTGTTTTATATTTACGGATAAGTTAATAATACTGGGAAATACCAGTTCTATAAAATTTCAAATTTAATCTGTTCCTTGTTATAATTTATACATGTATATTGAGAGATATGCAATCCAGCAAACACTAAGTAACAGTTATGTAACTGTTACTTTGTGTTTGCTAAAAAGATTTATATATATATATATATACACACCTCTATCATTTCTTGCATTCCATTTATTTGCCATTACAGGTGACATTAATGCAAATGCTATGTCTAATGTTGTCAATAATGATGACAGTATAAATATGTAACCGCGATTCGTTGCGGTTTTGAATCGCTTGTCGGATCGGGTTCGTGATAGGCGGAATAATTGAAAGACAGTGTTTTAAGAAAATAATAATGAAGAATATATTTAAAATACTAAGCTGATGATAATGACAATATATATCGAACAATACGTGTCGACGCCTTTGGTTGTGGTTGTTTGTATCGCCTGACAGAGGTTTGTTTAGACGCCGATTTGGTGATGTGACGCGCGATGCGCGGACGACGTCAGTGTCGCGTCTTCGCGAGTCTATGCTGTTGACGTTTTTTTCGGCGTCGTGTCTCTTAAGTGCGGTGGGCACTTTTCCCAGCGATGTTTAGCGGCGTTTCGGAATCATATAATGTTCGCGGGCGTTGAGATTGCAGCG